CTCAACAGTTGCTCCAATGCAACCTTGCCCAACAGTTGCTCGAATGCAACCTTGCCCAACAGCTGCTCCAGCGCACCCTTGCCAAACGCAGCTTCTGAGGATGCAACCTATCCAGCCTAGGCCAGCGAACACCCCGCCAGTGACCCTACGGCCTGCCATGTTCACCTTCCCGCCAATTCCTCCACCCCATCTGAGGGATGGGCCAGCTGCGTTTCAGATGCCTGCAGCTTTTGTCAAGGTGGAGGGAGCTACAGCGAAGGCGGCGGGGCAACAACAGCATTCAGCTCCACCTGAATCCAAAGCCCCCAACACTGCAGCTCCCACTGACCCATACCATCCAGGTCCAGGCCCGTACCATGGCCATCCAGCTGAGGCCAAAGCGGAACCCTCAGGTGAGCTTGAAGCAAAGCCTGATCCAGCCGACGAGGCGCTTTCTGTGTGGGAGTATGGCGCACAGCTGTCGGCAGCGATTTCCAAAGGGGAGTGGGACAGTGATGACTTGGCTTTCTTGCTGCCTGTTGTGGAGCCGGCGTTGGGTTCGGAGGAGCCTGAGTATGACCTTCCTGAAGAGAAGCCAGAGATTGAAGAGTATGTTGGATCTTCGGCGGCCTTTGGTGGCTCATCGACAGTAGAAACGGCAGCGCAGACAAGTCCAACTTCACCGGCTTCAGAAGGTCACATCGAGGCTGCAAAGAGCACGAAAGCAGAGTTGAGCAAACTACGCAACAAGCGTGAAAAGCGTGTGCCATCCTCATCAAGTTCGCAGAGTTCGTATCAGTCAACCTATGACAGTGGCAGCTCACGATCCAGGTCACGACGCAGGAGGAAGAAGAGTGGCAGGAACCATCGGTCAAAGAAGCATCGGCGTGGCAGGAAGACTCACCATCGGTCAAAGCACCATCGTTGAAGGCTGAACGTGTGGTGTGAAAATGTGCCTTTGTGCGAGTTCAGTGAACCTTGTCAAAAGGGAGAGTCAAGCCTGTCAACAGTTCACCACCCCTATAAAGGACTCTGATTCTCGATGAACTTTGCTTTTTGAAACATGTTGGGAACAAATCCACTGTGAGTGAACCTTCAACCTTGAGTGAGCCATGTTGCAATTTTCCACTTGGGTTGGCCTGCGAAAAAAGACCCCCACAAGTCCAGGTCAACCTGCATTAGCAGAGCCATGCATGAGTGAACCTTGAGTGCACTCGACTATAGCATCATGTCAAATTCAGGTTTGAGGTTTGAGGTTTCAGGTTCAGGTTCTGTCCTAATTCCTCTCATGGTCTCTCCTCTCAGGGTTTCTGTTTTTGAGGACTTCATGACTTCATATGCGCACTTTATGTCGACAGGTTCAGTCCCCTCAGCACAAATTCCTCTCATGGTATATCCTTTCAGGGTTCCAGGTTTTGAAGACTTCGTGACTTCATATGCAGTTTTATGTTGACAGCAGTGAAAGCCAAACCTTGAGTGAACCTTGAGTGAGAGAGATACGACGCGAACTTCTTGGATTGTTTTTGTGCCTCCATAGTTTGAAGCTGACAAACGCAAGATCTGAACCACTTTGAATTGGAACTTGTTCTGATATAGCTCTTTCAAGCTCAAACTATTTTTGGTATACATTCGACCAGCTGTGCGCTTTGAACATGTCGGACAACGTGCACCAGAACAAGGATTTGAAGGTTGGTGCCACAGCTGGCGCCTTTCCCAAGCAGGAAGATGATGCTAAAACTTTGGTTCTTGGAGAACTATCTTCCGAAGAGTGGAGCCCTGGGGTGGATGACCCTCCTTTGAACGAGGACTCTCAAGTACCTGATACCTCAGGGGTGGATGTGGATGACTCTCAGGTTCTGCAAAACTCTCAACCTGTCTTTCCACCCAAGGAAGAGTTCCCTGATTCTCAACCTGTTGAAGGGGTTGAGGAGAACAAGGAAGATCCATCTCCCGAGTCGCCCAACATCCATGATGACAAGAGTGTGGAGGACGAAGGGAAGGATGAGTCTGCTGAGGGTGAAGAGGAGGAACGCGCTACCGACGATGAGGTGACTGGTTTCTTGACCATGGATGACAACGGTAACTTGATTCAACATGGCCATGTCAGCGATTATTCCTACCAGCTCATGCACTTCATCCAGGACATCATGGCTAATGCGGCTAGTAATACTGCGGCGTCGAGCACCCCTACTCCTCCAGTTCAGGCTCCAAACCCGGGTTCCCGTGAAGAGCGTCGTAGGGCGCGTAACGCTCGCTTGCGCAAGCCGAGGGCAAAGAGCGGGAAGTAGAATCCCTCTGTGAGGGCTTTGCTCTTTAGACGTAGAATCCCTCTCGCGCAGGGCGGTTTTTGAATGCCTTTGATGATGGCAGCGTACCAGCAAGAGCGAAAGGTATGAAAGAATACTGCTGTCCCAGTGCCACTTCAGCCTTGTTGCGCCTTGAGTTGAGCGAAGTTTACGTTAGATTTCTATCAAAAATATTTACAATTTTGAATGGCTGAGTAGTGGATGGGGTCATAGTTTGGTAGAAAGTAGGTCGTAGTTTCTAGTCATACTTTGGTAGTACTTTGGTAGCACTTTGGTAGCACTTTGAAGGTCAACATGCAAAAACATTGGTATATACAGTGTTTTGTGGAATCAAACTATGACTCCTCTCTAAACTACTACCAAAGTACTACCAAAGTATGACTAGAAACTACGACCTACTTTCTACCAAACTATGACCCCATCCGCTACTCAGCCATTCAAAATTGTAAATATTTTTGATAGAAATCTAACAAACAATCCATCATTTGAATTGAGTTTTCGGTCATTAGTACAAGTGAAGGTTGCTGAACTGTTGAAAGCTTTGATGAGTTTCAGCACTCATTTGTGAACCTGAACGCCAATCTCAAGAAGTCTTTGAGTTTGAACGTGATTTCGATTGACTGCCATCCGCTTCCCTTGACTAGCCATGCCAGCAATGAAGCGACCAAGCTCGGCGGCAGCGGAGGGGGCGAAGAAGAAACCAGCCGCTTCAGGCTCAATCCGTGAGACGGTGGACGCGATCCAGGATTGGGCAGAGCAACGCGGTGAAGGTGAAGAGTCAGAGGTGAGGGATAAACAGAAGGCCCAAAAGTTCCACAAGATGCTGAGCAATGGATCGCTACCTGACCATATAGTGCACATGTTTCAGGTGGAAAGCAAAACAGCCAAGGAGGGGCAGCGAGCCTACCAAACCAAGCTCATCAACAGCTTGTTCGAGAAGGGCGATGATGGATCCTTTCGCGTGATGTCTGATCGTCAACAATTCCAAGAATACAGGAAGGTTTGGAAGGCCAACGTCGCCAAGGACAAGACTGAGGCCATGCCAAAGACTTTGATGTTGGCAAGTCACTTTCACGGAAATGAGGCCCTGATGAACCAGGCGATCAACAACGGCGAGCTCATGTCGAAGATTGACCCTGTGTCAAAGCTTGAGTACCTGCAATTCCGAAAGTTCAGCCAGACCGAGCTACGAGGCAACGAATCAGGCGAACAAGTCCAGGGAGACAAGAAGCTGAACAAGGAGCAGGCCCATGCCTTGGCGGACTCCATGAGCAAGCTCAAATGGACGTTCACTTTGAGCAAGGTGGGTGGCTTGCATGGGGTGGGTCAACTTTTAACAGGTGCGGGTGAACTTTGAACAGGGGTGGGTGGCTTCCATGAGCAACTTCTTAAAAGGATGACATTCTTCATCAGTTTCCTCTCATGGTTTTTCCTCTCATGGTCACGGTGAATTTTATCATGGTCATGGTTTCCTCTCACGGTCTCTCCCTCTCTCTCTCTCTCCTTCCTCTCAGGGTTCTCTCAGGGTTCGTAGCCCTACATTCCTTTGAAGGGAAGCTACATGTTGGTTGCCCTTATGCGCTTCATCGCAAAACATATCAGGCGGACGAGAAACGAATGGATGAGCAGGGCCAAATTCCGGAGTCAGTCAAGAAGCTCGCGGTGAAGGCGAAAGATGCATGCGAGCGTTTGGTCAAAGACGGCTCCAAGCTGGTTGGTGTGCCGGAGTTGTCGGGAGTGAAGGACGCCTACAAGACTTTGAGTCAACGCATCACGAACTTGAACCAGCTTCTCATCCTCGGCGAGCTGCCGTCCCAGGCCGCCATCAACCGCAACTCCTTGGAGAACTTTATCGGGGGCATCGCCAAAGATGTGGAAAAGCACCACGGGGAAATCCAAGCTGCAAAAGCTCGGGCAAAGACTGGCAAGGCCAAGTCATGAATCTAACAAGAGTCACCCGTGACCTCAACGAGTTTTTGAGCCCTCTATGAACTTGAACCTCAAGAAGGGCACCTGTGGTTTGGCACTGAGAGGCATGTGACAACTTGAAGGGACCGCTGTTCAACGCTGAAAATTGTGTTTTTGTGCTGTGTACGCTTGAGCTGAAACATTGGAACTGAAGAGCAAAAGAACTCGTATGACTTGTGAACAAAAAGCTATTGTAGAACTGGCAGTTTTTGTCTTCAATACTTAGAACTCGTATCAAGGTAGAACCAA